AATTGCAGATTGTTATAAACCACCATGTGGGTGATGGGAATTGAACCTGGGTCCTCTGGAAGAACAGCCAGTGTTCATAAACACTGAACCATTTTCCCAGTCCTTTCCTAGAGCATCATGGCCCTATTAGGTTGCAATAATGATGTGACAGTCAGCCTATGATTTCTAGTTAACTTTACTTAGAATTTTATACAGTTTTATACAGATTTGATGTGACTTGAAGAGGACCGGTTTCAGGCGCCTTCTTTAACCCAATGATTAAATGCCCTGTCCTTTTTCCTCTGATGAGTTGTCACAAGTGTGTTGCTCTTTCTTTTGATTACAAGCTTGTTCATTAAAAGAAAAGTGCACATGCCAAGGCCACCAGCAAGGTTATGAAGTTCGATAATTAATGGCATTTTGATGTGCTTTTCCCTATTACTGCTGAGAAATTTTAGCATCTGAAGCTTGAAACTGGCAGAGACGGTAGTGTGCTAGCATCCTCTCCGCTTGCATCTTTCGGATCCTCTCCGCTTGCATCTTCCTTCGGAGTAGACGCGGCTTCCCGGCAAGGCAGGAATAGTGTGCTTTAGAGGCTGTCGGTGATCATGCAATTGGTTCCAGCCAATGACATGTAAGCAATGAGATGTAAGAAAGCAGGGGCCAGATTTGGTTTCTTTTGCAGCCCCACTCCCAACCCGACACACACACACTTCCCTGACCTTCCATTCTTCCTGCCAGAAATGCAAGGGGAAAGCCAGATATGGAGAAACAGTCATAGAGGGTCTGTGCTTGCATGAAAGATACACACAGGCATCACAGAGAAGGCAGCCGAGAGGAAGCCGGACCATTGGCATCAAGATTCTTTCTGCTGTTCTTACCCTGCGCCGTTCCCTCTGGACGTGGTATTACGAGGAAAATAAATCCCCACGTTACTGCGGCCAGGTTCTGTAATTTCCAACTACTGCTGCAAAAATGCTGGGATAATAGAAAGCACGTGCACAGAAAAGAGCCTTCGGGGCCCCTCATTTAAAGCAGTCTAGAGACTGTTCTAGAGAATTACACGGCCATATAGACGGATGTCTTAGAAAAACATCACTGTCATTGCTTCCCCAAAAGTATCACAGGAGATGTCCGTCTAGCAAAAATCCTCCATTGAAAAGCTCTACTAGAGTAGAACGCTCAGCTCCAACATAGGTGGAGGAAAGTGCGTAGAAGGGTGTGTGGGCGGTACTGGGAGAAGAAAGGAAAAGCACTCCACGATTTAATTAAACTGCTAAAAAAGCAATACAAAAAAGACGCGAGGCAAGAGAATGTGTCTGTGGGTTTGTAATGCCCTGTAATGAATAGCTTTTCCACAAAGGATCAATTATACAGGAAGCAATTTTCTTGTAAATATTATATGAAAGTTTTTTTTAATTTCAATAAAAAATAGCGGTCTATTAAGCAACAAAGACTTCGAAACTGCTCAGTGACAGCGCCGTGACTCGTAGGGGCTAACGTATCTTGAGGGAATGGAATAGTTATAATAGGGAAGCAGTGTTTGTTCGCGGTGCTACTGCCAGGTGAGATTTGAAAAGATTTCTGTGCTAATAAGTAAAGGCAAAAAAAAGAAAAGTAAAATTTTCACCATTAGAGGTATTAAGATGACATTTAGAAGGAAATAGAGAAAAGGTGCCAGGAAAGCAAAGAAGAAACAAAATCATTTATTTCCTGTTTCCTTTTTCTAGACACCTCAATTTAAGTCATTTTTTTAAAAAAGTCTCATGTCTCCGCTAAATGCAGATTTTCTACTGAGAGGAGGCAGAGTGGGGTAACTCCGAAGGTGGTAACAGTCTCCTGAGCTAATCATCTTCAGGAAGACACACAGACACATGCCATGTACCCAGTTGGATCATTACTTACTGGCTGATGTGGGCAGTGTAGCACTGTACCTCGGTGGGACTGTGGAGGTAAGAGGTGTACTGAGAGACATTAGGAAGTTAGGGAAGGCCTGGCTCCACCCCTTTCCCCGGGTAGTTTCAACCTACTCGTAATGGAAGTGGCAACGCTTCAACTCTCTCTGACTTCACAACCTCTTGTGAAGGAATCATGTTGTGTCACCCAAACAATGATTTGAAAATTGTTTTGTGAAAAAAAATAAGTTTTTATTAAAGCTAGAAATAGGAAAGGAATAATAGGTTTCTATCTTGTAGATTTTGCCTGTGGAGTAAAAGTGAGGTAAGCGGGTCGGTGATCATACATGCCAAGGATAGTGAGGAGTTGGCTACACAGGAGTTCCTTCTTTGATTTAAATGTACCGTCAAGAGCTGGAGAAATTGCTCAGTGCACGAGGGCACTTGCTGCTCTTGCAGAGGGTCCTGAGTTCGGTACACAGTTACACACAAGTCAGCTCACAATGATCTGTAGCTCCCGTCGGGTGATCTGATGCACTTTTTCTTGTCTTCGGGGGTACCAGCCACTTATGTGGAGTTTGGACATACATGCAGCCAAAACATTCATACATGTAAGATAAAAATAAATCCAAAAGAGAAACGAATGTGCTATCAAAATACTTGGATTCAAGCCAGGAATTGTTGACACACACCTTTAATCTCAGCTTTCAGGAGGCAAATGCAGCTGGGTCTCTTGAGTTTGAGGCCAGAAATGGCTGGCTATATAGTGAGACCCTACCTTAAATAAAAATAAATAAAACTATAATAGTCAATAATAAGAAATACTAACTACCACTTGTTAGTAGTAATAACAGATAAATTAAAATGTTTAACTACAACATGCCCAATCAAAAGAACAAAGATCAGCATGTAGTGCATTACTCTGAACTTGGGGAGAGAGGGATGGGAAATTCAAGGTCAGGACTGTGTACACAGAGAAAGGTGTGTGTGGGAAGGGAACACCCAGGCTTGCAAAAGGCCAGGGATCTACCTCGGTTGGTTGAACGTTTGCCTAGCATGTATAAAGCTCTACATTCTATCCTTGGCACACATAAAATTAGGTTTGGTATTAATTATTCCAGCACTGGGGGAGGCAGGAGGACCAGAAATTCAAAATTCAAGGTCGTCTTCAGTGAATATGAGGCCAGCCTGAGATACATGAGATGAAGTTCCCCCTCCCCCCCCCAAAAAAAGAAATTCCAGGACACTGGAGTTCGAGAGATTTCTTTACCAAATGCTAATCCAAAGTGGAAAGGCAAGAAGTTGGGCAATATTAAACTAAGAACTTCTGTAAGGAAATGAAAAGGCAACTGGCAACATAAACATTATGGAAATGCATTTGCTGTCCAAGCATTTCCCTCATAAAAGTGTGGGTCCAGAAGCATATTTCAAAAGCACATATAAATTAATAAGATAAAAGCTGACAAGCCATTAAAAAAAAAACGGAGCAGAAAACCTGAACAGGCAGTTCACAACAAAAAGACACCTTCCCATACTAAAAGACATTTTACTTCACTCGTTAAGGAAATCCAATTTAAGTCGCAATATGATAGCACCATCAGCATGCTATGGAAGCTAAAACAGAACACAAAATGCTTGGTGACAGAGGAAGAGCAGGAGAAACAGAGCACTTACGTGGCTAGTAGGGGGCGTAAATCCGTGTATTTTCTCCAGGAAAATTGTTCAGCTATTTTTGCCTTGTCCTTCTAGTCCTACATATATTCAGTGGAAATGTGCACACATCATCATCATAAAACACAAGCAAGCAAACTCCTAATAGTCCCTTAAAGATGACCTCGATGCCATGGTCTGAATGCTGACATCAGCTCAAAAGGGATTACGTTAGTTGGAGGGACCTTATAGGAAGTGGCAAAGACTCCTCTCTCTTCGTTGAAATTAGAGTCCCAAGAGGGGAGACCAAAGAGATGTGATTTCTGTTAGCATCACTATGGGATGCCTCTCAAAGTGAAGAACACACCCTCAGCAGCCATCAGCTCTGCAGGCTCACTACCCCCGAACCATAAGCAGTGAGGGTGTGCCATGGACTCATTATCAGCAGGGGTAGAACAAGGTGAGGCAGTCACAGGCTCACTTGGATCGTTAGTGACTGGGGATTTGAGGAAGAGCGAGGAATAAAAATCAATCAATCTTAGCATCCCAAATACTATTTGGATTTAGAAAATGATACTCCCTGTCCAAAGGGAAATGTGAGAAGACACAAGGTGTGTAAACGGCACACACGACTCTTCTTCCAAGAACAGGATTAAATTAACTGCCACCAGATCTCACTCGCAGCTGCCATCTGAGGTTTATTTGATATAATAACATGACAGAATCAACAAACTTGCTGAAAGGTACTCAGTGACTTTTAAAACCAAATCTGCACACTCTAATGGCACAGCATGTTTCATACTCAAAAAGACACCATAACATGTTAACATTATAGCAAGTTTAAAGGATGACATATAGCTTATGCATAAATACAACATTCTAAAGCAATGTACAAAATAATATTCTTATTTAATAAAAGTGTATAAAAATATCTAGGCTGGGGGAGACAGAAAGTGCTTAACAAGCAAGTACAAGGGCTCTGGATCTATGTAGAAGCTGGCCATGGCTGTGTATGCTTGTAACCACAGGGCTGCAGGAATTAGAGACAGGTGGATCCCCTGGGAGCTTTTCTGGCTATCCATCCTAGCCCAAACAGTGATATACATTTCACTGAAATACCCTGTCCCAAAAAATTATGGTGGAGAGATGCAGGACACCTCATGTAGATCTCTGGTCTCCATATGTGCACACACAGGTGAATGCATACAAACACAGGCACCAGCACAGATGTACACACACAGACACACACATACACACACAGACACACACACACTTTTCTTACATAACTCAAAGTGGGACACAAACACACATCCATTTTTTGAGGCAGAATCTCTCTGTGTAGCACTGACTGTCCTTAACTTGCTCCGTAGACCAGACTGGCCTTGATTTTATAGACCCAACTGTCCCTGACTCCCAAGAACTAGAATTAAAGGTGTGCTCCTGCAACCCACTTTTAAAGTAGGAAGGTATACCTTTAATCCAGATCTTTTGAGGTGGAAAGATCTTTTTTTTTGTATTTTACAAATAAAGTTTTATTGGAACACAGTCAAGTCCATTTGTTTACTCAGTATCCATGGCTGTTTTGACGCTGTAAAGTCAGGGTTAGGCAGTTAGGAGACAGAGGACATGGCCTGCCAAGCCCAGAACATTGCTCTCAGGCCTTTTAGAGAGCATGTAGGCTAACACCTCGCTGAATAACAAGTGGCATTTTTTTACTGTACTCTTGTATCATTTTCAGAGGGATCCAAAGGGTTACAGTCAGTGAGAACATGTGGATTAGAGCCCAGAATGGGGTGCACATCTGTAAGCTAGCAATTGGGATGTGGAAGGAGGAGGATTTAAGAGTTTGAGGCTAACTTGGGTTATATGAGAACTGGTCTCAAAAAAAAAAAAAATGACATGTGGCTTAAGGATTTTGTGACAACCAGGAAGGCTTAAAGAAGGAAATTACAAAAGCAAACCATTGTATGTCTAGGCAAAAATGTCCATGAACTGAACTCTATTAGGGAGTTAATCAAGAGCCAGTATACTAAGTATAATATATACGATTATCACTTTATGTAAAGGGGATATTTCTTGTGTTGGCAACAGTGTACCTCCTGCTGACAGAATTCTAAGTGGCTGACAGATCGTATCCACTGTGTTGGTATACAGGCCTCTTTCTCTGAAAAATGTCCAGGAAAAATGAAGAGAACACATCCAGAGGAGGGAGGCGAGGAACTGTGTTCAGGAGGTTTTCCCCAAGGTCCCTGTGCCCACAACTCAGAACTTCAGAGGAATGACAGGCCAGTATTTTGGCTGCTTTTTGTCACAGTACTTGTCAAAGCTCATCTGCACAGCAGCCTCCATGGCCAGGATCTTGGGAGCACTGTCCCCATACAAGCGCTTCATCTCTGCTTGACGCCGCTCCCCAGGCTTCTCTGAGGGAGGCTCTGTGGACCTTTGGTGGTTGTAGTACAGCCCATGGTCGGCATTTACATAGTCGTCCAGACGCTCGGCTTCTAGTTGCTGCTGTCGCCGCTGCTCTTCTCTGTGCCTCTCAGTCTCTGCAAAGTACTGGCGGAGCTCCTCCGTGATTTCCATATTGCTCAGGTCGCATTCTATTTCATTATCTGAATCCGACTCCATCGCTTCCTCTTCATATGGGGCTTCATCTTCTCTTGTGGTTGCCTGGATTCTCCTGCTATCACAAAGAGGCTGCCCAGAGCTTTGGAGATGGGAAACACTGTAGGGAGGCTCCTGCCAGACCACGTGTTGGCCTTGATAGTTCCAAGGATGCCCAGCCTCATAATCAACAGCGTTCCAGGGAAGAACTCCTTGAGGGTAGAACCATGGGGAAGTGAGACAGGAATTCTTGGACTTCCTGTAGACATTCTGGTGGGTTCGCATCCAAACCATTGCATGATGATAATGTTGCCAATATCTTGCATATACTGGGTGAGAATACCAAGATTCATTAGTTCTCCATTTTGAAGTCATTGCCGCTATCGCTGATTGCAAATTCCAGTGAGCACTCATGGGCATGCAGCTTGCAGATGTCAGGCGGTGGACAACCACGGGCCCAATTTTCGGTGGAGCCGGGTGTAGGGAGGTCGGAAAGATCTTCTTTTAATCTGGGTCATGTAGTAAACAGAGAGCAACTTGTTGGTTCCCAGCCACTCAGCCCCAAAATAAGCACACAGAAACCATATTATTTAAATCACTGCTTGGTCTATTAGCTCTAGCTTCTTTTTGGCTAACTCTTACATATTAATTTAACCCATCTCCATTAATCTGTGTATTGCCATGTGGCAGTAACTTACTGGGTAAAATTCTGTCAGACTCTGGCAGGGCTGCAAGGCTTCTCTAACTTCTCCTCTCTCCCAGCACTGTGTTCAGTTTCCCCCCGCCTAGCTCTGTTCCCCTACAGCTCTGCTATAGGCCCAAAGCAGTTCCTTTATTAACCAATAATAGTCACAGCATAGAGAGGGAAAACCCACATCAGGGTCACACCTTCTGCTGTTGGCCTATTAAAGGATATAGTGGTGTTATCCACGTCATACTTGAAAACATGTCTTCTGATTCATTCTGCCCTCCTAAGAGCCTTGGAAAGGGTGAGATGCAGGTCCCAGACCAGCACCTGCTGCTCACACTGAGGCATCTGTACAGCCTCTTGGGGTAGTTTCAAACTGAAAGCACCCACTGGGAGGGTGAAGGCCAAGCAGAAGCACAAGCATTACCAAGCTCCAGTGGGCTCAGAGACAGGGGCTGCCAGACTATGTCAGAAAACTGGCCCAGCTGCTCCCAGTGAAAGAGAGCCGCCAGGTTCCCTTCCTTAACTGGCCAGAGAGAGGATACTCATCAAAACCCTCCCACCACCAAGATGCATTTTGTGACTGCTGTGTGTCCTTGGATCTGCCGCTTCTTGGCTGTCTCTGTCGCTTATAAGAGAGTGACGGGGAGAGAGAGAGAGATATTATTGAACACACACATGCTTCAAAAGAACAACCCTGTAACATAGTTTCCGGTAAGTTATCACCATGGCTAATAATCCTACTTTTAGGAAGTTTTCAAGGGACAATTGTTAAAGAAAGATTTTAATGAGCAAAAATGACTACCCAGTGCTGCCTAGGTGAAAACTCAGAACACCTATAGTGACTTCCTCGATATTTTCTGTGTTCCTGGCAGGTCTTCTTTCCCCCTTCAGCTGATCACAACAGGCCCTGATGCCATCACAGATCAGAGATAACTAAACCCAGGCCTAGTCAACTATAGAGTTCATGTTGGCTCTAACATCATGATTCATGGTTGATTTAATTTTAGTCATGTGATTCAATAGAGCCAACCATAAATTAAGAATGTTTTCGTACAGACATTTGTGTTGTCTTTCCCGATTTCTTTATCATGTAATATAACATCAATTAAGAGAATATCAGTGGTTATCATATTTAAGTTTGAGATACTAAAAGAATAACCCTCCAGGGACATTGCTACCTATTCTAAAATTTATCGTGCATTTGTGGTTGTATGAGGGATAGTTATATCATGTTTAGCATAACTGTGACCTCATTAAATATATGTTTGTGATTGTACATGAGATAAATACATCATGTTAGGTGTAATTATGACCTGGATATTGTTCTCGTTTAAAAATTAAGCATGACATAAGGAGATATGATTGTGTGTCAAGTTGACAAACGGTGGACTTGTGTTGGCTATTCTTGATTAAGTTGACTACATCTGGAATTAACTAAAACTCAGGGGTCTGGGTATACCTGTGAGGAATTTTTTCTCAATTAAATCATCCTAGGGCCACCTGGTGGTGGCATATGCCTTTAATCCCAGTACTTGGGAGTCAGAGGCAGGCAGATCTCTGTCGGTTCGAGGCCAACCCGGTCTACAAGGAAGCTGTGTTTTTTTTTGTTTGTTTGTTTTGTTTTGTTTGGCTGCTTGCTCTCAATCACATATCCATTCTTTCACTGGCATAAGAGCCTGCTTCTCTGGGATTCCAGTGTATACTAAAAACCAGCTGAGAAAGTCATCCTCATGGATTGAACAATTACTGGATTCTTGAACCTTTCATTGGTAGACAGCAATTCTTGGACTAGTTGAACAACAGCCTGTAAAGAAAATCTAATAAACATTCATTCTGTAAATACTGTTCCTCTAGAGAACCCAAATACCACATATATACATTTACTATGTATGTGTAAATATATATACATACTATGTAAATGACTGCAAAGCTACACATGAAAATGCCACAAGAAAAAAAAATCAATGCAAATACAATAGAATTTTGCTCTATAACACATTCTTTTTTAAAAGAAGAAAAAAAAACGTTTCCTCTTAAGGTTTTATTTTAAACTAACTTCTATATTTTGAAACCATCAGAGAAGTCTATTTTCTGAGGGAGACTTTGATCTCATGGAAGTTGCTGCCCTTATTACCCACCACTCCTACACTCTTGAGAGAATCATCCTACAAACAAAACAATCTCCCAAGCAGCCACTAGACGGCCCTTGGCAAGATCTAACATCGATAACATTGCTGTCAACTCAACTTCCACGGGCACTCGAGTTTTGCCAATTGTTCTAGCAATGCCCTTCACAGCAAGAGCCCCCGCTCAGAAGCAAGCCCTGTGTGTAGTTGCTGTGTCCCTTTTAGCCTCCTCCAGTCAGTCTTGCTGTGCCCGCCTGCCTTTGACAGTGGTGGTCGTGACACATGGTAGACTACATGCCAGTTTCCCCTGTGGGTTGTCCTTCAGGCCGGGTTAGTCTGGTGTTTCCTGGTGATTAGATGCGCAGTAGGTCAGGACAAGAGGCTGGTGCTCTTCGTCCTGCAGTCTGGTTCACGCTGGCCCCTGGTGTCACTTCCAACATTTAATTAAAGCAGTCTCTGTCAAAGATCCCACCGCACAGCACAGTTGCTCTTTTCGCCCGCAATTAGTGCTTTGTGAGAGCTAAGTTTGAAATGAATAACGTTTACCCACTGGGTACATAATTTATGTATTTGTCTACCCAGATTCACTCTATCCAATAGGTTATCATCTGCTATTGTTGTGGGGTTCCACCAGAGAGGCCTACTTGGATATGGGGTTAAGCCAATAGAAAGTCTTTACTAACTAGCCAGCGGCTAACTACATTGTGTGTTTGGGATCCAAGTGTACACCCAAACCTTTCTGAGGGTGAGCTTTTAATTGCAGAAACCATACCCTGGGTTGATGTACTTCAAAGCAAGCACAGTTATCCAGAAGCAGAACTACATAGTCAAAAATCAAGGTTAGTATTTAGAGACTTTTCCAGAACTATGGACTTAGATAGATTAAATCTTTTCTTTGTTTGTTTGGCAGGTGGTACTGCCTGTGGTGAGTTTTATGGCCTGAATGATACTTCTATTATGGAGTCAACTGTGCTAAGATCTGGAGGCCTACTAAGGTCTGGGGGCCTGATACACTACTATATTTATTTTGATGTTCAAATTACCTCCGATTTGGTCACTGAATCTCCTTGTACCTGGTTTCTGTCCCCCAGGGTTTGTAAAATCAGTGTCCCTGTCTTAGCTCATGGTGTTGCAGTTCTGGAGCCTGGCATTGCTCAGCTGAGCTCTTCACTTGGAACATGGTTCGGCTGAAACCAAAGTTGCAACCAGACTGCTCTTGAGCAAAGACCTATGTGCAAAACTATCCATGCCCACATCAGCTGCAATTACCTGAGGTGTTAAGATGTACACTCTCGTGTACTTGCTTATTATAAGCCAGGACCAACTCAGGGACAGTGGGTTGCTTGCTTCCGTTGCCATTCAGTCTTCATCTTCAAGGCAACCAGGCAAAGCTGCCCTCTCATCTCACCAGCTCCTTTTCCTACTTAGAATCCTTTGATTTCTCCACAAGTCCCCAAACAAGGAAACTGTTCTTGTGATAAGTCAGAACCATTTTATCTTAATTGCCAATTATCAAAAACCTTAATTGCATCTCCAAGGTCTCTTTGGCAACATAACAGAGCAGTACCACAGGACAGAGAGTGTGACCTATTCACACTCCCGAGAGTTACACGGGGTGTGTTCTGGAGGTAGGTTTTCCGTGAGAGGTCCTCTTAAAATTCTGCTTCTTTCATATACAGAAAGTGCTAGAATAGTATCTGGCATTGTAAACATAAATACATTAGTTAATATTACTGCTTATTATGTGAAAACTCAAATTTTTTTAAATAGCTATATCCTGGTAATGACAAAAATAGGTGAAATAACACTTGGGTGACACCAGACAGGAAATACACATTGGTGGAACCTTCTGGAAATTAGTTGGGTGATGTATAATGAAAGTCCAGTGCTTCCATTTCCAGGAAATCATACTAACGTTAGGATCAGAGGTATGTACAAAAGAGAACCAGGATAGTCTAGTGCAATGTATAATAAACACCCTTTTTATCATTTTTAGTTTGAGTTGGTCCAAAACTCTCGGCTATCCTCCTGTCTTAGTCTCCCAAGTGTTGGGACTGCAGTAGTGAGTCACCACATCTGGCTAATAAACACCTTTTTAAACTAATAATTTCCTTTTAGGGATTGATTAAATAGTATGGCATAAGTATTCAGTAGACTATCCAGAAACCTGAAAAAAAATCCATAAAAGTACAAAGCCTGAAAACATCTAATGAAAGAGACAGACTCGTGCTGCAAGTGAGGTGAGGGCTTTCTGAATCGGTCTGTCTGTCTGTCCTGTCAGTCTGTCCAAATGCTCACTGAATAATAACCTTCTTTATCTCTTTTGGGGTGACACCTTAGTCAAGCACCTATGGTACCTGAAGAGAATTTTCACCTCTTCACACTTCTACAGGTCAAGCAAGCCTTCTGGCATCTCTTTTAGAAAGTACTGCATCTTTCCTGGAGTGCCAAGTGTCCTTTGGCAAGATCGGGTCACTTGAAAAGAAAAGGAGCATGACCCATCACCATCTGTCTGGCGCTGCCCATCTGCCAAACAAGAGCATCATGGAAAGGGAAGGCCTTGCATTGTCTCCTTCCTTCCTGACTGCAGCGTCTTCCAAAGACCCTGAGGGACTAACGGCTGGCTCTGCACTCTAGAGCTATTGTCCCATTTACACAAAACTGGTGAAAGTATGCCCAGTCAAGATCTCAG